CCAGTCACCTTTGGAGACTGAGAACGAATAGATTGGATCCATCGGTTTCGGCTATTTAATCCTCAATAGAAGATTTAATGTAAAGGCATGAAGATATCTCGCTTATCTTGGACGCCAGCTGAGTTGGGTATTGTTCCTGAAGGCTGTCAATTATTTTGGCCGAGCAAGAAGCTACTGAAATCCGTCTGTACTTGTTCTGTCTGGTCATTAACGTTGTACGGCATGGAAACAGTTGTCTAACGAAGGAGCTAGAACGACGTCTGAATGGAGTACAGCAGCGTTAGCTTCGACGCATAATGAGGGTTGAGTGGAAGGACCACTTAAGGAATGGCTTCATTCTCTTCCGTATACAGACGACCTTGGGTGACTAAGAAAGAGGTATTGTCCCTTTAGATAATCTGGTCGAGCATGCACTATTTATTTCAGCTTGTGAACTGTGTGTAGGAGCCAAAACATAACACACGTTGATCACGAGGTCAGCGTAGATCACTGTAAAGCACTGCAGAGGCGGATCTGCTTTTGGAGAGGAATATTTTTTTGCGATACAGTAATCGATGCCTTATAGCAAAAGTGTTGATAAGCTATCGCTACAGCGGACACCTCGAACCAGAAAATGTTCTGCCTATCCAAACAACTCAAATTGATGATTTCAACAGACACACATTTGTGTCGTTTGCATAAATACCTCATCGGGCTCGGTCACTGTACAGGATCAGGCGAATGGTAAAGAATACAGTGATGACGATCACTGTTCGTTCATGTTCGATGACTGGTGCTCCTTTCGGGCTATGGGGAAAAACTACTTCCGAAGGTTTTTATCAATCCTGTGCCGAGCCGGAAAATTCATGGTCTGAATGTAAGACACGACCACGACAAATCCTGTACATAATCTGGTCATTTGGAGGTGGTGGGACATTCGCCTTCTGATTCGGGCGGTTGCTGGGTTCAAACCTCGAAAAAGACATGATTCGTCTTAACCGCTAATTCTGTTGAGCAAGGAATTGCCTCCTTGCAATCAGCTGAGAAACGAGTAGTATTTTGCTGACTCACAAGCAGCAGGACAACATTGGGCTGCGATGCG